CGCGGCAGCCGCCCCCCCGCGCCCGGCCTCGCCACTGCCAGCATCCCCCGCTTCGGGGTGCAGACGGACCAGGAGGGGCTGCTGGCCAAGGTGGGCCCTGGTGCGGGTGACCCGGCCTGCTACGGGGTCCCCGGTGCTGGTCCTGCATGGACCTCTGTCCCTCTGGTCCCCAGGAGCTGGAGGACACCAACAAGTGGGGGCTCAACGTGTTTAAAGTCGCCGAGTACTCGGGCAACCGCCCGCTGACGGTCATCATGTACAGCATCTTCCAGGTGAGCAATCCCAACGGGATGTCCCTGTCCCCGTGCTCAGCTGGGGACAAACCACCTCCTGTCTCCCCACAGGAGCGAGACCTGATGAAGACCTTCCGCATCCCCGTCGACACCTTCATCACCTACATGCTGACGCTGGAGGACCACTACCACGCCGACGTGGCCTACCATAACAACATCCACGCTGCCGACGTGGCTCAGTCCACCCATGTCCTCCTCTCCACGCCCGCGCTGGAGGTGAGCCCCAGTCACCTAAGGCCACAGAAGCCACCAAGTGTGTCTGGCTGGGCTGTAACACATCCGCAATGTATTTTTTCCCCATTCCCAGGCTGTCTTCACGGACCTGGAGATCATGGCTGCCATCTTCGCCAGTGCCATCCATGATGTCGACCACCCTGGTGTCTCCAACCAGTTTCTCATCAACACCAGTGAGCTGGGGTGCAGGGATGGAGCTTGGGGGGGGACATGGGGGAGCCTGGTGTCCAGGAGCCACCCTGGGGTGACCAGTGCCATCTTGCAGACTCGGAGCTGGCGCTGATGTACAATGATGCCTCGGTGCTGGAGAACCACCACCTGGCTGTGGGCTTCAAGCTTCTCCAGGAGGAGAACTGTGACATCTTCCAAAACCTGAGCAAGAAGCAGAGGCAGTCACTCCGCAAAATGGCCATTGACATGGTACGGGGAGCGGGGGGGCTGGACCACCCCGGGGTGGGGGGTCTGGGCTGGGGGACTTTGCGGTGGGGTCAGGCTGAGCCCCATTACCGGCTCGCCCTGCCCAGGTGCTGGCCACGGACATGTCCAAGCACATGAACCTGCTGGCGGATTTGAAAACCATGGTGGAGACCAAGAAGGTGACCAGCCTCGGGGTGCTGCTGCTGGACAACTACTCCGACCGGATCCAGGTGGGCATCAGGACACAGGTGGGGAAACCTTCCTGGCATTGCAGGCGTTGGTCCTGGCTCCGGCCAGGGCTGCCAGGATGTCCTGTTTGGTGCCACCACTGCTTCCAACCCCAGTTGGCCATGGCCAAGCGAGTACAAGGCACGGAGGTGGCAGCCCTGGGGGACAAGAGATGTCGGGTGAGTGATGCTGTGTCCGTGTTCGCAGGTCCTGCAGAACATGGTGCACTGTGCCGACCTCAGCAACCCCACGAAGCCGCTGGAGCTGTACCGGCAGTGGGCCGATCGCATCATGGTGGAGTTCTTCCGTCAAGGTGACCGGGAGCGGGAGAAGGGGATGGAGATCAGCCCCATGTGCGACAAGCACACAGCATCTGTGGAGAAGTCCCAGGTGGGGCAGCGGCGTGGGGCCGGGGTGCGGGCCACAGGGCCAGACCAGGGGCTCAGCTCTGCCTTCCCACAGGTGGGCTTCATTGACTTCATCGCCCACCCACTGTGGGAGACGTGGGCCGACCTCGTGCACCCCGATGCCCAGGAGATCCTGGACATGCTGGAGGACAACCGGGAATGGTATCAGAGCATGATCCCGCGCAGCCCGTCCCCACCGCCTGAGGGACCTGGAGCGTCCCCCACTGCCACCGACAAGTTCCAGTTTGAGCTGACGCTGGAGGAGGAGGAGGAGGGTGAGTCAGACACGGAGCTGGAAGGGGCTGAGAGCCCCTTGGACGAGGACAACAGCGGCTCCAAGACCACAGCCCCCGACCTGACACTGAGCACCTGTCACCCGACCATGGGGACCAGGACTCGCCTGTTACCCGCCCCAGGGACGTGGACAACCGACGGGCGCTGGAGGGGATGCTGCCAAAGGATGGTGGTGGTGATGGGTGCTCAGCGCCAGGTCCTGAGGGCAGCCAGGGGCTGTGCCTGGACACGGAGGGCAATGTCACATTCCTGCCCCTGGGCACGTAGCAGCACCGGGCGGTGGGTCCCCTCGCTGCCGCAGGGATGTGGGACTGGGCGCTGCCCCGCTGAGTGCTCCCTGACTGTGGGCTGGCAGTAGAGACCACTGGCAGTGCGGGGACCGGGGCGGCCGCTGGCACGCAGAGAGACCCAAAGCGTGTCCCCGTGTGGGAGCTGGGCAGGTCCTGATGGGCACGAGGATGCTGCTCGCCCTCTCCCAGTGACTGTCCCCTGCTCCCACCTGGCGTCCCCACGTATCGCTGCTGGGAAAGGGCCCTGTCCCCCTCAGAGAGGGCTTGGGGACGCTGTGCTCCTGCCCCAGCCCGGCCCTGGGGACACCGTGCCCCACAGGGCTCCAGGAGGAGGTCCCCCATGGGGCCAGGCACAGCCAAAAGCATTTTGGCGTCTCTCCGGGTGGCCCCTCACAGATTAGCAGCCCCACGGCAGGACACGAGGTGGGCGAAGGGTGCTGGTGACAGCCTCCAGCATGAGGGACCTCGACCCAGCCAGGCACTGGGACACAGCACAGGCACAGTCAGCGGTTTATTTATTTGGGGACGGGTTCACTTTTTAAAGCTTTTTGTAGCTCACTTTTCGATACATGCCTCACCTAGGCGTGCTCACACGCGTTCCTGTGGCAGAAAGACGCGTTTCTGCTCCGCGATGAGTGCTCAAAATGCTGCGTTTGTACTTTGCACTTTGGGCTCCGATGGGCGCTGCGACCACCCGCCGTCTTTCCGCAGGGGCTGGGGCAGCCCCTGGGGTCCTTTTGGTTTCTTCCTTCACCTTCCAGAGATTAAACCTGGTTTGTATCCCCCCAAAATACGAGTCTCGTAAGTGCCTCTTTACCGTGATGGTGTCACGGCAGCCACGGTTGTGCCGGTTTGACCAGTGTCCCCAGGGGCCAGCGCGGTTGGTGGCCCGGTCTCCTGCCATGCACCGGGGAGGGCCCTGCTCTGTGTTTGAACAAAAGCGAGCTCCTCCCTGGAAACGTCGATCCATCACTGGCAAACACAACCCGCTAAGGTAAATATTTAATCGCCGGCTTGGCGCGGCGCAGAGCCTGTTCCTCTGCTCTTCCGCATTGCTCCCAACAGTGATTTATATCTGCAAACATGTCCCCACCCGCGGCACTGCCCTG